AAGAAAGATCTGATGCAATTTTCCCGTAGAATCAACGGTTTAAGAGTTATTGAAGAAAAACGAAATTTTTTGTCAAAAGTTCGCCATTTCGACGCTGGGATGGTCGGATTTTGTCAACATTAATAAAATGCCAAATAATCATACGTAACTCATTAAATATCGAAATTAGAAGAAGAATGCACTATTTTTAATTATAGGAAGTGCGTTTTACTAAGGTACATAAACTTTTGGGATTGACTGTATAGCCAATACATCCTTAATGGTCTCCGTGAAGTCGGCCGAAGCATTGACTCGTACTACTCGATATTAGGAAGGATCATCTTTTACGGGCATAACATCAATCTCTACTGCGCCCTTCAAGGATTGTTCGAAATCGGATTGAAGGGTTCCTGGGTCACCGCGATTCAGCCTCCGTTGGAAGCGTGCATGTTCCATGACTCTGCCTTTTATAATGACTGCGAGGTATAATAAACAAAATCCTATCCCTTCGATTGAGAAGTAAATAAGCGAGTAAATATATTCGAGGTGTACTTGGAAGTGATGAAGTCTCTTACGAGAAACAAAGTCGATGTACTAGTGGGATGGGAGTTGATGGGATGGTACCTGAAGGACGCGCCAGAAGGGAAGATGATCGAGGCAGTCGACATTCAATACAAAGGCAAAATAAAAACGATAGATTGCGACGCTTTGATCAATTTTAACGAGAGGATCATTAACAGGAAGATATTCATGGGTGATTGTCAATGTTCACCGTCGACCATTGATCATAGATTGCCAATCCCGTCCTTCCGTTTCAGCGATATGCAAGGCTGGTCTCGTGTTCGATGGTCTGTTGGTCATAGATCCAGACTTGAGGACGAACGATAAATGGATCTTCGCTGGCGGCAGCATGACCAAGTATTGCAAGAAGTTTCACGCGGAGAACTGGGAGCATTCGTACTTCAACAGTTTGGAGATAGGCGAGAGAGTTAGTAGAACGAACTTGGAAACTCCTGACTACTATGAACGATAAAAATTTGATAGCTCGCGAGGATTCTCCGATCGGACATCGACAAACAGCACCGCGGCGACGAGACTCCGTTCGTACCGTTCAAAGGCAAGACGTACTTACCGATACCCTCGTTCCGTTCGCCGATTATCGTGGGAGGCGTCATGCCCGGTGGTTATCACTATCTTCACGTTTGCAGACCCGGCATACCTGTGCTGCGGAAGTACGCCATTCATTATCACATTTATGTGAGCCATCATTACGTTATTTAACACTACGTTAAATTTGCAAATTCTTACCTTTACAAACTGCTTTCGAGAAATTAGGGAGAAGTGATGATAACAGGGTCTTGCACGTCTGATATCGGTTATTTACGAATAAGACTGAATCGACTCGACACGGTCGAGACAGTCACGTGTTTCAGCAAAAAGGTAAAACTACAGTCTTATTATTGCGGGTATTATCTATATAGTTAACCGGTTTTAGGAATTTGAGGTACGGCACATGATCGCGTTGCACGGGAAGCACGAAAGCTTGTTGAACGAATTGAAAGCTCGCTTCCACGTAAGTCCACTTCGGTTTAGACAGATTCTAATAATAGAGAATGATTTGATCACGGTAGGATAGATTGATCATCGATTTTTACGCGTACTTCCGTGAGCCATGGGCGTTGGCACTCTTCTATGAAAAATTCGAGTGTCTCCGTGTCGAAAACCGAGCTACACTCTTGTCGAGAACGGTGAGAGATGCGAAATTAACATTAGAAAGACTGAAACTTAGTATATACCTATATTGCCCAAAAGCAGTCAAAATGACTGCATTGTGAAAGAATAATGTGTANATCTAGTGTTAAATGCGGTCAGCTTGAAAATCAATGTTAAAATTCTCCTCGCGTTAGGCCATTCCCGGACAGTCCCTGATCAGCGATTGTATACGCGCTTTGAATAAATCCGAGATCGGCGGAGTGAGTATTTACGAAGAACAAAATCGTCAGGGATCGAAATCAATTTTTTTTTATAAACGAACCTTTAGATCGAAGACAGCGACCGACGGAATATTCAGGCGAGGTACGCTGGCTCGGTTTACCAGCAAGAGATCGAGGAGAATCTGTTGAACTTCCTGCAGTTCTGCGAGGACGATTTGCCAGTGTACTGCACACCTGAAAAGTTGCGTGAATTATGCGCGGACATCCAGGAGAGTCCCCTCTACTCCGAACTGTGACCGATCCCATCGGCGCAATTTCTATTTCACGCTTTCTCGAACGATTACACGCGAAATAAATGATCACCCCAACCCCGATTTCCTCCTTAAGTATAATTTATGTCTCGGTAAACGGTCGTCATTATCGATTTCTCGATCGGACGTTTCTGATTTTGGGAGCGAGATTCCGATCGCCTACACGCTGGCACGCGATCGGATCTGTAGGTCAAGTTTAACATTCCTTCGAGCCGCGTTCCATAAGCATACGACCCAAGGCGGCGTTTAACTTGCTGCCCACGCGTTGTGAAACAACAAACACGCGCGTTACAGAAATGTCACGCTCGCCGTGAACGCGGAACCGTTCTCTCCTTCTCGCGGGTTATCAGCCACCGTGGATCGCGCTTCCATTCGTATCAGTTTCTTTATAGAACAGGACGGAGTCGCCTAATGTCGAAGAGAAAGCACCTACCCATTCAGCTGTGGGATAATCCGACCTGTAACACTTACACGTGAGAAACTATAGCGGGATCCGCGTTATGCCCATTTGTCAACCGAAAGTAGAAACGCGACTTTTAACAAAGAACGGAGAATATAAACAAATAATATCGTGTGTTAGAACGACGACCGACGCGCTGCGTCTATCGAGAGACAGAACAGGGATTTAAATAAAGTGAATTGGGATAGTTATCAATTACACGGTTCGGAGCGAGGGCCAAATTTCGCCGTTTAATCGACCGGTGAGTCAGGAGCGGAACCGGGCCGTATAATTAACCGTTTTGGCAGGGAACTCGGTCGGGAGTTCTCATTAAAGCTGGTACATCCTATCAAGGCTCTTCTCTCCCACGTTCACGCATCGATTTACATTTTTACTTTATTACACGCGCGAAACCAATTGCGTAGAAATCAGTCGCGCGTCCACCGCGCGAGGAAAACGTTCGACTACTCCGATCACGACGATTAACGATTACGAACCGATAATGAGCCGACTCTCGTACTTCTACGAAAGGAGCTGTTACTTGTGCGAACGCAGCACCGTTTACCCGGAGTACCATGCTCCCAAAAGATCACAGCACAGAGTGAGATTCACCGAACCGCGTAAGTGACAATCATAATTTTAAGAAATATCCAATGTGAAAAAGAATCGCCAACAGCACTCAATATTGCAACGATGTATCTTCAATAATGTTACTGCAACATTCCATTCATAACATCACAACAGTGCATTTATGTAGTGTAACATTATAGTAACGTTACAGTAACGTTCCTTACGATTTTTATGTAATTATTATATCGATATTATTGAGAAAATATAACATAATTAATCATAAAGAAGATGTAATTATTATATCGATATTATTGAGAAAATATAACATAATTAATCATAATTGTAATTACAATTATAACATAAACGAATTATAGAAATACGATCTGTACTTTCAGAAATTCATTTGTGGCAGGCAATACTGCAGTAACATTGAAGTATATTGCGATCTTGCAGTACAATATTTTTGCAACGTCTCCTTAATTCTCATTTCGATTCGGTCAATGAGAGCCAAGTAGTGTCATCTAAAATCGACACTTCGCATGATTTATTTATTTATTGAGAAGTTTAAGAATCAGACATTGAACCGATCGAGTTGAAACGTAGTTAAATGAGCAGACGGGGCGATTCTGTTTTCTGTTATTCACGTTCACACGCGTATACGCTTCTTGAAACGAATCCAAAACCGCGGAGACCCTGACGCTGGGTCAATGTCGCGCTATTCTCGTTGCTGGTACGAGGACGTACGGATTTCGCAGCTGTCGTTAAATCGCGAACAACGAGACCGACGCTGAACGGCGATATAATTTAATTGGGGGCCGGGACCGCTTCCTCCGGTTTAATGCCGGGACTATTTCTATTCCGGTTAAGGGGTCGCTCGCCGGTCTTGCGTCACAGAACGCAGCCGCAAAACAACGCTTTACATAACTTGACCGACGTTATTATACAACTATTACGATTACCACGCGCCTCCGCGATATAACTCGCGGGACAGTGATAATGTGCGCCCGCGGATTACGCAACGTACGCCAATTTACTCGCGCCTTTGCGGTACGCTGTTTCTTCCCCGTAAAAGGGAATATTCACGATCCGTATTCACGACGCGGCACGCTGATTCACGTGTCTTTTGTCGCGATAATTGCCGCGATTCTTCACTTCGCCTCGCCTCCGACGACCTTGTCAATGGAACACGTGTGGGAACTGTAATGAGGGCGAAAAATCAAGCGAATATAGTTGATACGTTTGATGAATCAAATCCAAACGATCGAAGGTCATATAATACGAGATCTTATCGATTCTCTGACAGGAGGGTGATGATTTTTGTCCGTAGTCAGAATGCTGAGATCAGCCTCGCCTCACTACGGCAGCAGAGGATCCGAGCCTCGAGTGATCCGTTTGACGGTGGATCAGGAAGCCGTTCTCCAGGAGCAGTTCAACAGATGGCCAAGGGCGCCTCATACAGCGGATATCGTGTTACTGGCAGCTGAGACCGGCCTCTCCGAAGCCGACGTGGAGGTTTTTATTATTTCTCTTCGAGCCGTCGATTTCATACTAGATCGTCTCTTGACAATTTCTTTGGGTTTCAGGCCTGGTACGCTATCCGGTTGGCGCAGTGGAGGAAAGAGCAGGGCCTGGGCGGAAATCTTGGTCTACATTAACGTTGTAACTTGGACAACGTTGTGTTAACTGTGTACCTGAGAATGCAACCCATACAAGGGTTGCGCGTATCGACCTGACAACGATCTATTCTATTATTATCGATTTCAGATTGCTTTTTATCGTAGCTACACGTCAGTTGTGCGTAGATTTCATTAACTTAGAGACCTACACGAGATTAGGTCGATCTACTTATGCTAATTCTCATCGTTTTCCGACGGTACCAAAAATCAGGATCTTAGCAAGTTAACTGTGTGACAAAAAAAAATCACGTGTATTAGAGGGAATCGTAGTTGTTTTTAACGTTTTTATTATTGTTTACCAGAAGTAGACGAATATTAAAATATTCGAGTAAAAATATATCTGTCCGAGTGCCTCGATGTTTATTTAATCGTAAGTTCGTCATTGTAAAGAAGACATTACCAGCGAGTATTAATCATAGATTATAATGAGACCTGACCGCAGGTTTCAGAAAAAATTACATATTAGTTCTAACGTATCGGGTACCTTATGTATATTTCTCGACGCTTTCACATAGTTTTACTAACGTCCTACACGATTGTACAAAAAAACACGAATCGAAATGGGAATTTCTGTATAACCCAGTTACTTATATAAATAAATGTTACGCGAATATCGCGCGCAAGTACATGGGGAGAAAAATGACAATATGATTAATATAAAAAATAAGTCAATCATTCTTTAATAAGGTCTGTTTAAGATTTATAAAATTGACAGGTAACTCTCATCTAAGTTTAACATCCTTCCCGACAGCGTCTTTTATAGACGCTAGCCCGTCTTGCTTCAACATGTCGTTCAATTCCCGTTTAATTTTTGCTACTATCGGTGGTCCACGGTAGGCGAAAGACGTATACACTTGCACGAGCGATGCGCCGGCTTTGATCTTGTCGTAGGCGTCCGCTCCGGTGAATATTCCGCCGACTCCGATAATGGGAACGGTACCATGCGTCCTTTTGTACATGTCCGAGATCATCGCAGTGGACATGTCGGTAAGGGGAGCACCGCTGAGCCCGCCGGTCTCCTCCTTCAAAGGACTCACCAAATTATTACGCGAGGTTGTCGTATTGCATAATATCAGCCCGTCTACTTTCGAGTTTCTCTTCAGGATCACATCCGCGATGTCCTTTTTCTCAGAATCTGACAAATCCGGAGCGAGTTTCAATAGCAACGGCTGCTTGCTCTGTACTGCTTGCCTGGCTTTGTTTATCTTCGTCAACAACTGTTCCAATTCCTTTCCACTCTGCAGACTTCTTAGTCCCGGAGTATTGGGACTGGATACGTTGATCACAAAATAGTCGGCTACATTGGAGAACTTCTTGATCCCGTCTATAAAATCCTGTGCAGCATCCTCTGACGTTTTATTCTTCCCCAGATTGATTCCCACAATTCCGTCGAAGTTCTGTTTTTCCTTTAGGCTCTTTAAGCGTTGCCAGACAATATCGTGACCGTCACTGTTGAAACCATACCTATTGACGACAGCATTATCTTCTAACAGTCTGAACAGTCTTGGTTTTGGATTACCAGGTTGTGGCTTTGGCGTTACTGATCCTGTAAAAAAGACTGTAATACCTGTGAAGTATGATTTTCATAGATGTACTTACCTATTTCTACGAAGCTAAAACCTATCTTGTGCAAACCCTCAACAGCCTCGCCTTGCTTGTCGAAGCCAGCTGCCATCCCTACAGGATTTTTGAACTGCATATCCCAAATGTTGACCGCGAGAGAACTTGGGTCTTCCGTAGGCTGTTTAGCTAAGAAACCCCATTTTAAAAATGTCACAGCTGCACTGTGCGCCAGTTCAGGATCCACCTTATGGACGACCGGCAAGATGAATTTATTGTAAAAATTTTCATTGCTTTGGTAAATGCAAATTCCACTATAAAACAAAGTGGCAGTGGTGGTCACTTTTATAAGCGACTTTAATTTTTCCTTATTGTTTAATCGATGAGCCATCGTAAAATATACGAGCGTTCTTTCGATTTTTCGCGGCTTCCCGTTGAACGAGAACCCCTAAGTAAGGTTAATTACTCAGTCCATTTCAAAACCGTGTCATCACGTCGTCAGTCGTCATGCGTTCACGAGTAAAACTGCCCGAACATCGTGAGTTCAGATATGTTAATATCTTGTATTCATTTATGTTTTTCAAATGTTTTTAACGCATGTTTATTTCGTGGGACGAGACGCGAGACACACCGATGCACCACGCTAGCGCTGAACGCACTGCACGTGATCGCACGTGACCAGAGAGAAACTAAATTGCGATTATCGATCGTGCATGGATCGACTCTCGTATGAATCGATATTTTAAATTCGAAAACAGGAGACTTAGAATAAGTGCAGTAATGTATTGTAAAACTGAAGAATTCTGATTAATAAATTAATGAAATCGAATCTTGGCATTTTTATTTTACGAATCTTGATCAGATAACCAAATTACCAATCCAGGACCACATGAATTCAGCCCAGTAAGCAAGAAATCATTGCTATAAAGTTATTATAACGTTATTTAATGTTCACCCTCTTTAAAATCAACCGAGTAATTATGAACGATTAACGAAAATGATTATATTCTGTTAATGAAAATTAATAATAATAAATTTAATTAATAATAGATTCAATAAATGGAATCGAATAACGAAACACTGGTGGCTGGGGATCTGGCACTCTAATAGTATTATAGCTCTTCGATGGCACTACTTACTATTCTTAGTGCTTTATTAAATGAATTTATATCATTTTCACAGTCCTTTAATAAAATAACTTCAAGCATTCACCATTACCCGTAAAACTGAGAGGTACGACATAGAAGTCTTCACGATACTCATGTAAGTTTGCAGGTTGACGATAAAGAATCTTCCGGCAGTGAGATGAACTGGATCTTGAGCCCTCATGATCACGTAAATTATGCTCTTCGCTACGTTCCTTGGTAGATCGTACCAGGAACAGATGTACACCGAATGACCGATTCCTTCCATTTGCTCTTTTAAATAGTCACCCACGTAACTATATCCAAACAGTTGGACCAATAACGTAGTCACTACTATGAACGCCTTTATCGTCAAGACTAAATTTCCAACATTCAGCGCGACAATGCATTGAAATCCTGGGGAGAAACATGTATATCACGTATTGCACACAAATTAGAAAAAGTATGCCATACCAGTCGTGCAAATGAGTACGCAACTCGTGAACAACTGAAAAACCAAGACCGAGCTAATCGTGTCGTTCAACATATCGGCTAAGCGTATCAAATAGATGTGTCTCTTAACCAGTACGTTAAAATTCTTCAGCGTCTCCTCGTTCGCATCTTCCACTCTACTAAAATCCATTTTCAAAACTTCCACTTGCCCGCACAAGTGAAAAATGATACCGAAGAACAACGAGTCCAGACCTAATTTTAAATAAACTTATTTAAACAAAACCATTCACGCGTTACGTCGAACATTTACCTAAGTTCCCTGTGCTCGTCAGTAGCAGCATTATGTATTCCGTGACGAAGACGACGAAATACAAATTCTGTGGCATGTTTATAGCTTCCAGAACGTTTTTCGAAGGAATGGGATAGTCTACTGCTTCATCTTCAGTCACGTTGACCATCACTTCTTCGTCTCCTGCCAGCATCGGTACGGTCATGAAGAGAGTCGAGCCGAAATACGAGCAGCCGATCACGCTGGCGCACGCCACTCTTCCCATGTAAGCGTGCCTTCGCAGAACGGCTCGTTTCTCTTCACTCTTCGGTTCATTGTAATCGTTCACGGCCGATGTGAAATTGGAAATGAGACCAGCAGGCCATACGCGGAAGTAAAATACCTTTGCGATCGCCAGGTAACCACAGGTGACCAACACCGTGGCGTCTAAATTCTTCTCGGCATCGCTGCTGTCCAAATACAATTCCGTTTGTATGATCATTAACATAAGTAACTATGGAAGAACGGAGCCGGTTTAATGAAATTCCGAGGTTCGACACGCGACGAGATCCGTACCAAAAACAGGACCGCGACGACGGCACGTGCACTCGAGAAAACGTCGTAATCCTGGAGAGGCCAAGTACCGACGGGCCAGGACAGTATTTTCATCGGCGTCATAGCGTACGCGAAGTCTTTCTTGAAACTTTCTCCCATCCTCGCAAAGATGTTTCCACCGGTCGTTTAAACCAATTTCGAGCATTATTTTCCTTGTTCCGCGTACAGCTGTGCATCCTATCTTTGGATCATCTTTTATTCAATCGTAATCGCTGAACTACCTCGCGTTCTCTTGCACTGTACGCAACGCAAATAATTTGTTGTCATTTTGTAATGCAGCCATTCCTCTGGTTCACACGAGTTTCCATACTACAATTTTTTAAAACAAGGCGAAGACCGAACTGCATTTTCAAACGCGTGAAATATTTATCACAGATACATTATGCGATTATAAACTTGGAGAACCGTACCTCGGAGTAAAATATTAGCGTTAATGGTGTAATGGTATAAGGAAAATTGTGCAAGAACTGAATTACTACGAAGCGCACGCGATGGGACGTAACTATCAGAGAACTATACATCATGAGAAGTTTTTTCTGGTTTTTTTCTGGTTAATGGTCGCATACTTTTATTCGATGGATCGTAGCAAAGGAATTCTTAATCGTCAGTCTTTATGGTGTCGTCAAGGTACGCATGTCACATCAAATGGTACGCATTGACGGTGAAAAATTGTTACCGCGCGTTTACTGTCATTGGGATAGACGAATGGACAAATAAGCTTTCAGTACGTCAGTATCGTCCAGCGATCTCAGGAGCCATAGACAGACTCGAGCGATCTTCTGTGCTCAGGAACGTTAGTGACAGTAGGAAGGTGGAATAATTATTATCTAAATTGCAATCGCAAAATGAAGATATTGTGATCCTGAAGAGGCCAAATACTGACGGGATACGACAGGATTTTCAATGGTGTCATCGCGTAAGCGAAATCTATACTCAACATTCTAACGCAAAGCTTATTGCAGAAAGTAATAAAAGGCGTCGTGGATATTATGAGATAATATGTGACGTTGAGAAGAGCAATAGCAATTATTCTATTCTATTCTTTTATTCAATATCAGTCCTTTGAAAATCTTAAGAGTTCACCATTACTCGAAGAACAGAGAGATACGACATAGACGTTTTTACAATACTCATGTAGGTTTCCATGTTGACGACAAAGAAATTTCCGGCTTTTAGCTGTACCGGGTCTTGAGCCCTCATAATTACATAAATCATGTTGTTGGCCACTTCTCGAGGTAAATCGTACCAGGCAGAGAAGTACGTCGAGTGACCGACACTCTCCATTTGGTTTTTCAAATAATGACCCGTATAACTATATCCAAACAATTGCACCAAACACGTTGACATGACCATAAACGTTTTTAAAGTCAAGATAACGTTTCCAGCGCTCAGCGCAAGAATAAATTGAAATCCTGGAAACAGTCATGAAGATCATCTCCCGCGTTTCATTCGCAGATAACTGCTTTAGTGGATTATGTACCGCTCGTGCAAATAAGCACGCAGCTCGAAAACAGTTGAAAAACCAAGAGCCAGCTGATCGTCTCGATTAACATCTTCGCTAACTGCATTAAATAAATGTGTCTCTCGACCAGCACTTTAAAATTCTTCGACGTCCTCTCGTTTTCGTTTGTCAGTTTAATGATCTCCATTTTCAAAACTTCCACTTGACCGCATAAATGAAACGTGATACCAAGAAATAACGAATCGCTGCCTGATTGTAAGTATAATTACTTTGACGAACATTCAATAGTCGATTAAATTGCTTACCCAGATTCCCATTGCTCGTATATATCAGCATCAGATACTCCATGACGAAGACGATGAAGTACAAATATTTCGGAATCTGTACAAGTTCCAACACCAGTTCGGAAGGAATGGGATAGTCCGGTGCCTCGGTTGCGTTAACAACTATCTCTTCCTCTTTCCCGACTAGCATAGCCACGGCCGAGAAGAGCGTCGCGCTGAAATAAGCGAAACCGATCAGACTGGCGCACGCCATTCTGCCCATGTAAGCGTGCCTTCGTAGAATAGCTCGTTTCTCCTTGCTGTAAAATTTGTTGTAATCCGTCGAAGCAGATACAAAATTTTTGATGAGGTTCTCCGGCCACACGTGAAAACGATAGACTTTAGCGATCGCGAGAATTCCGGAGGTAAATATGACCATAGCGTCCAGACTCTTCTCAGCGTCTCTGTAGTCGAGAAACATTTCCGCATATATGATCATTACCATTAGAGTCTATGGAAAGAATGAATAACAAGACGCGGTTGTATACTGCTTCCACTAAAAATGGAGGTAAAACTGTAAGAAGTGAAAAAACGCAGGAGATATTTTCGTACCAGAAATGTAATCGCGAAATAGGCTCGTATCTTCGCGAAGACGTTGTACTTTTGAAGAGGCCAGGTACCAACGGACCACGACAGTACTTTTATCGGTGTCATCGCGTAAGCGAAGTCTCTCTTCGACGTTGCCTCCATCCTAGCAAGGATGTTACCACAAAAATTCTATTCCATATACTCCCTTAGTTCTGAAGGTAAGACAACGCGCGCCGTTCCCGAATCATCTTTTATTCAACCGTAATCGCTGAACTACCACACGTCGATCTTTTTTGTACGCACCGCAAGCACTTTATTACTGTTTTGTAACATAGCCATACCTCTGGTTCACACGCGCGCTACTCTTTTTTTCAAATACAGAGAAGACCGAACTACATTTCTACAGATATCAGCTATTTATCAAAAATAACATAATGCAGAAAACTGTTCCTCGAAGCGGGAGTATAAGGAAAATTGTTCAAGAATTGAATTGCGGCACATTACTTTCAAACGCACGCGAAGGGACGCAAGTATAGTAATGATACCATCGGAAGTTCCTTCTCTACGGCCGTTCAAATGGTTGCATATTTTTATTCGATGGAGCGCAATAAGGGAACTCTCCGTGCTGCAAGAGACATCATTGTAGTCTTTATTGTACCGTCAAGAAACGTACGTATCAAATTTGTGCATAACATTTCTGAAAGATACGTATATAGTTTTCGCGTGTTCCTCGTCACCAGTCCGGATAGACGGACGAGTAGATAAATCTTCCGGAATTCTAGACGGCCCGAGTGATCTTTTGTGTTCAGGAATGTAAGCATAAAAGGTGTAATCGTTAAGTGAGTAACGTCGCTACAACGCGTACGATACGATATCATTATCACTCCATCGCCCAATTGAATACGCGAAGCTTACTCCAGGAAGTAATGATAGTCATCGTGGATATCATGGGATAATATGTGACATTGAAAAGAGACATTAGCATTTACTACATTCTGTCCTTTTATTCAATATCAGAGCTTTGACAATCTTAAGAGTTTACCATTACTCGAAGGACAGAGAGATACGACATAGACGTTTTTATAATACTCATGTAAGTTTCCATGTTGACGACAAAGAAACTTCCCGCTTTTAGTTCTACCGGGTCTTGAGCCCTCATAATTACATAAATCATGCTCTTGGCCACTTCTCGAGGTAAATCGTACCAGGCAGAGAAGTACGTCGAGTGACCGACACTCTCCATTTGGTTTTTCAAATAATGACCCGTATAACTATATCCAAACAATTGCACCAAACACGCTGACATGACCATAAACGTTTTTAAAGTCAAGATAACGTTTCCAGCGCTCAGCGCAAGAATAAATTGAAATCCTGGAAACAGTCATGAAGATCATCTCCCGCGTTTCATTCGCAGATAACTGCTTTAGTGGATTATGTACCGCTCGTGCAAATAAGCACGCAGCTCGAAAACAGTTGAAAAACCAAGAGCCAGCTGATCGTCTCGATTAACATCTTCGCTAACTGCATTAAATAAATGTGTCTCTCGACCAGCACTTTAAAATTCTTCGACGTCCTCTCGTTTTCGTTTGTCAGTTTAATGATCTCCATTTTCAAAACTTCCACTTGACCGCATAAATGAAACGTGATACCAAGAAATAACGAATCGCTGCCTGATTGTAAGTATAATTACTTTGACGAACATTCAATAGTCGATTAAATTGCTTACCCAGATTCCCATTGCTCGTATATATCAGCATCAGATACTCCATGACGAAGACGATGAAGTACAAATATTTCGGAATCTGTACAAGTTCCAACACCAGTTCGGAAGGAATGGGATAGTCCGGTGCCTCGGTTGCGTTAACAACTATCTCTTCCTCTTTCCCGACTAGCATAGCCACGGCCGAGAAGAGCGTCGCGCTGAAATAAGCGAAACCGATCAGACTGGCGCACGCCATTCTGCCCATGTAAGCGTGCCTCCGTAGAATAGCTCGTTTCTCCTTGCTGTAAAATTTGTTGTAATCCGTCGAAGCAGATACAAAATTTTTGATGAGGTTCTCCGGCCACACGTGAAAACGATAGACTTTAGCGATCGCGAGAATTCCGGAGGTAAATATGACCATAGCGTCCAGACTCTTCTCAGCGTCTCTGTAGTCGAGAAACATTTCCGCATATATGATCATTACCATTAGAGTCTATGGAAAGAATGAATAACAAGACGCGGTTGTATACTGCTTCCACTAAAAATGGAGGTAAAACTGTAAGAAGTGAAAAAACGCAGGAGATATTTTCGTACCAGAAATGTAATCGCGAAATAGGCTCGTATCTTCGCGAAGACGTTGTACTTTTGAAGAGGCCAGGTACCAACGGACCACGACAGTACTTTTATCGGTGTCATCGCGTAAGCGAAGTCTCTCTTCGACGTTGCCTCCATCCTAGCAAGGATGTTACCACAAAAATTCTATTCCATATACTCCCTTAGTTCTGAAGGTAAGACAACGCGCGCCGTTCCCGAATCATCTTTTATTCAACCGTAATCGCTGAACTACCACACGTCGATCTTTTTTGTACGCACCGCAAGCACTTTATTACTGTTTTGTAACATAGCCATACCTCTGGTTCACACGCGCGCTACTCTTTTTTTCAAATACAGAGAAGACCGAACTACATTTCTACAGATATCAGCTATTTATCAAAAATAACATAATGCAGAAAACTGTTCCTCGAAGCGGGAGTATAAGGAAAATTGTTCAAGAATTGAATTGCGGCACATTACTTTCAAACGCACGCGAAGGGACGCAAGTATAGTAATGATACCATCGGAAGTTCCTTCTCTACGGCCGTTCAAATGGTTGCATATTTTTATTCGATGGAGCGCAATAAGGGAACTCTCCGTGCTGCAAGAGACATCATTGTAGTCTTTATTGTACCGTCAAGAAACGTACGTATCAAATTTGTGCATAACATTTCTGAAAGATACGTATATAGTTTTCGCGTGTTCCTCGTCACCAGTCCGGATAGACGGACGAGTAGATAAATCTTCCGGAATTCTAGACGGCCCGAGTGATCTTTTGTGTTCAGGAATGTAAGCATAAAAGGTGTAATCGTTAAGTGAGTAACGTCGCTACAACGCGTACGATACGATATCATTATCACTCCATCGCCCAATTGAATACGCGAAGCTTACTCCAGGAAGTAATGATAGTCATCGTGGATATCATGGGATAATATGTGACATTGAAAAGAGACATTAGCATTTACTACATTCTGTCCTTTTATTCAATATCAGAGCTTTGACAATCTTAAGAGTTTACCATTACTCGAAGGACAGAGAGATACGACATAGACGTTTTTATAATACTCATGTAAGTTTCCATGTTGACGACAAAGAAACTTCCCGCTTTTAGTTCTACCGGGTCTTGAGCCCTCATAATTACATAAATCATGCTCTTGGCCACTTCTCGAGGTAAATCGTACCAGGCAGAGAAGTACGTCGAGTGACCGACACTCTCCATTTGGTTTTTCAAATAATGACCCGTATAACTATATCCAAACAATTGCACCAAACACGCTGACATGACCATAAACGTTTTTAAAGTCAAGATAACGTTCCCAGCGCTCAGCGCAAGAATGAATTGAAATCCTGGAAACAGTCATGAAAATCATCTCCCGCGTTTCGCTCGCAGATAACTGTTTTAGTGGATAATGTACCGCTCGTGCAAATAAGCACGCAGCTCGAAAACAATTGCAAGACCAAAAGCCAGCTGATCGTCTCGATCAACATCTTCGCTAACTGCATTAAATAAATGTGCCTCTCGACCAGCACTTTAAACTTCTTCAACGTCTTCCCGTTCTCGTTCGTCAGTCCAATGATCTCCATTTTCAAAACTTCCACTTGACCGCATAAATGAAACGTGATACCAAGAAATAACGTGTCGCTGCCTGATTGTAAGTATAGTTACTTTGACGAACATTCAATAGTCGATTAAATTGCTTACCCAGATTCCCATTGCTCGTATATATCAGCATCAGATACTCCATGACGAAGACGATGAAGTACAAATATTTCGGAATCTGTACAAGTTCCAACACCAGTTCGGAAGGAATGGGATAGTCCGGTGCCTCGGTTGCGTTAACAACTATCTCTTCCTCTTTCCCGACTAGCATAGCCACGGCCGAGAAGAGCGTCGCGCTGAAATAAGCGAAACCGATCAGACTGGCGCACGCCATTCTGCCCATGTAAGCGTGCCTTCGTAGAATAGCTCGTTTCTCCTTGCTGTACAATTCGCTGTAATCCTTCGAAGCGGATACAAAATTTTTGATGAGATTCTCCGGCCACACGTGAAAATGATAGACTTTAGCGATCGCGAGAATTCCGCAGGTAACTATGACCATAGCGTCCAGATTCTTCTCGGCGTCTCTGTAGTCGAGAGACAGTTCCGCATATATGATCATTAGCATTAGAGTCTATGAAAAGAATGAATAACAAGACGCGGTTGTATACTACTTCCACTAAAAATGGAGGTAAAACTGTACGAAGTGAAAAACGCAGGAGATGTTTTCGTACCAGAAATATAATCGCGAAATAGGCTCGTATCTTCGCGAAGACGTTGTACTTTTGAAGGGGCCAGGTACCAACGGGCCACGACAGAACTTTTAACGGCGTCATCGCGTAAGCGAAGTCTTTCTTTGACGTTGCGTCCATCCCTGCATGGATGTTTCCGCAAATCATTTAATTCTATTTTGAACAGTACCTCCTTCGGTCCTGACAACGCGCGCCGCACCAGAATCATATTTTATTCAACCGTAATTGCCTAAGTAGCTCTCGCCGATCGACGTCCTTCCTGTACTTCATGTTCTTCGCATCAAACGTATCGTTGGAATTTCGCAGTGTAACCATTCGTCCGGTTCACATACGATGCCATATTTTATCGAAAGTTATGAAATATTCAGCGCGGACCATTAAACTAAGGATACATCTCGAAGGATCGTCATTCGTAATAAAAGGGTTAAAAAAAATGTCTAAATTGCTGCGTATTTCTTCGAAGCGCACGCGAAGGGGTGCAGGTATAGGAATTACAAACTTTTCTCCTATCGTTCGAACTATCGCATAGTCTGTAAATTATACCAATAGAAGTTCGCTGAGAAATGGACAATGCAGTCTCTATTTTGCCATCAAGAAACGTACACAAATGGATACACAAAGGCCGTGTTCGAACAGTTCTCACGCTTCCATCATCACTCTGAGGACGGACAAGTAGGAGGCCGACGACTTCAGTATCTCTTTGAACGTCAGTAAGTTCATCGAGAAGAATTTGCCAGCGGTTACTTGGTACGGCATGTTACCGCGGTTGATTATCAGCACCAGGTCTCTCGCTTCGCGACCCCGGGAGTGATACCACTTCGAGTCGTAGGCGGCTCGCGCGATCTCCTCTGTCCGCGATTCGAGGGTGTCGCCTGCGTAGGCGTACAGGAACAGTTGTATGAGCAACGTCACCATCAGCACCACGCTCTTCAACGCGCCGACTTTGTCCCTCGTATTTAGGCAGACCAGAAATAGGAAACCTGTTTCACAAAATACAACGAGATGATCTAAATACTTTCCAGCATGTGTTTTTTATCGCTTAAGTGAACGTAAAGAAATTAGTCTAATTATCTTATTGTATTTTATCGTCGCATAACGTTGTGATAATTGTGTCAAACGTTTTTTTATCAGGATTTACAGTGGAATATCTTTATGGTAATACTTGCCCTAATTCCCTGTCCACCATCTTTTAATACACAATTCAATATAAACAACCATGTCACGATATTTCTTTCTTATTTAGAAAGACTATGAATTTTCACTGAAAATTTATTACAAATTAGCATTCTTAATAATAATTTTTTGATTACCATCGACGCAAATTAGCAGAGCGCTCATCAGCAGCTGAACGAGGATGATCATGTTGAAACTTTTCTCCAGGTCGTCGACGAGCACCGCGAGGCGACAGTGTCGTTCGACAAGCAAGTTGATTTTCTTCTGACCTGCGAATCCCTCGAGCTCGACCTCGGCGAGGTTCGCCCTGAGAACTTCGAACTGACCGCAGAGGTGCATGGTCAAGCTGAAGAACAGGCCGTCGTTGGCGCAGTGACTGACCGCGTTCACGAAAATGTGCATACCCTGTAAAACCAGCACGCAGACGTGATGGAACAGGGGTAGCGAACCGAAAACGCAATACGTAGCCAGGAAGTAGTTCAACCGCAGCGGGTGGTTCATCGTCACGTTCACGGAACTTTTCAACGTCTGAGGTGAGTAGAGTCTGTTAATAAACATTTTTGCAGCGTTAATAAGCATTTATTAAATTATGACACACCTGAAAAGGCAGTAGAACGCCGAACGGTAATGCTTTGACGATGAAAGACAGGCCGGAGGCGTAGCCCAAATATAGAATCATCAGGGAAACGATTTGCCCTCTTCTGAAGTATTTCGTCATGATGATTTCTTCACGAGAGTCGCTGACAGTCGACCAGTCTTCGATCACCGAGCTTATCAGGGCGTGTGTGTGCTTCGCGTTTAAGCGCAAGATGAACAATTTCGAGAGGCTGACGATGGAGGATAGATCCATGACGAACGCGTCCATCGTGTCGTCGATGTCGAGGCAGTGCCGGTAAGTTTCCAGAGACAGAGTGCAGATAGTACTGATCTAATTCACAAAAAGGATTCCGAGCAAGATTTTTTTTTATTTCAATAAGCATTATCTCAACAAGTATAGAAAAACTAAACGATAAGCTGAATAGTTAAACTTGTCTCGGCCGAGTCACTTCCACTTTAACACTAGATTGCCCAAGGAAGTAATTTTGACTGGTTTTGGGCAAATGTACAAAT